AATCTAGAGCCAGGTTTTTCAACCTGCTCTGATACCATAAAGGCAAATTTCAGCTGCCATTAATGGTGCTATTCACGAGAGAATGAAAGAGACAAGAAAAGCTTTTCTATTGATAATAATGTTGCAGAATATAATGATCCAAAATAAGGCTGCAGTAGCCTAGCTGCTTATATACAATCTATCAGCTACAACCCTAGGGTTACAACTCAAGGATCCAACGGCTATGATGAAGTAGAAGAAAAAGACAGATCATATGTACCATGCATGCAAGAAGATAAAATATAATATGGGTGAACTAAGGTAAAACAAGGCTATTAACCAAAATGTAAAAGCAGTAAAAATAGTGCACTATTTATTATTAGTGTTGTTAATACCTAAGTGTAAACTCCCAACATGAGAATAAAGGCTACACTCAGGCCAAACTGGGGCCAACGACCCAAACCTAAAACACATAGACCACATCAACATAAACATAAAGATCACACAAACAAAGAAAAGCAGAAACATAAACAATAATAAACGAAAACGGAGCCTTTTCCCTGAGAACCGATCAACCAGTAGTGAACGACCGACACAAAGAGAACCTCGAGCCCGAGAACCGCTACCGAAACTGCACGAACGCCTATGCAGCAGGAGAACTCAACCACCGAGACAATCCCGAATCGATCTATCTCTAACAGAAAGAGCCCCAACCAGCCCACACGCCAGCCCCACCGAACTCGACTAACACCACTAGCCAAGCTTAATAGGACCCAATCCCCGGCCGCCTAACACCACTAGCCGACCAAGGAAGAACGTGACTGACCCGGGCCCTCAACCATTGCCGCACCAGACCGACACAGCAACCGGAATCCTGCCCCGCCCTCTGACCCACGCGCCCGCACACCAATGCAAATCACTGACAACGGAGCCCGAAACCCACCTGAAGCCCCTCCAAGAACAGCACTGCCGTCCAAGAAGACCTCCAACTCACCGACTAGAAGAAATCGAGGGCTTTCCACCCCCAATCGAAGACCACCGACGACCAAGAAGCTATCAGCCACCAAACGAGGGTGCCCCACCACACAATTCGAACTCGCCGGCAACTAAGATTGAGCCGCCAATTGCGCCATCTGAATCAACATAGTAGACTCGCGACAAAAGGGGCGGGCCGAGCGGTCAAAGACGACCACTGTCCGTCGCCGAGGAAGGCAGATCGCCGATGAAAAAGATAGAACGACGGGATTTGGGGCGAAGGATTTTGGTGCTTGGGCTAGAGCATATAACAACAGAAGAAGTATTATTCAAAAGTGTGAAAAGAGTATAATTGTAGTTGAATTATTAGTAGAAAGAAAGATAAAATTATTATTTGAATACAATTGTAAAAGTTTATGTAAAAAGTGATATATATATATATATGCTAAAAGTCTAAAATCTCGGGGGACAATGCCCCCTTCCCCTCCCCTCCCCCCCCATATGAATAGATCCACCTCTGTTTGAAAGTGATTTAATTTCATGTTGCCACGAGGAAAATGATATTTTGTGGCGATGTTAGGAAGACTAACAAAACTGGAAAACCTTAATTGAATATCGAACAGACAAGAAAGTTCGAGTTTTAAGGACCAATAGCAGTCTTGAATTTTGTAACCCATTGTTTGATAATTAATGTGCTAAGTATGATACTCAAAGATATAATATTTTGCCTTACACACTTCAGTAGAATGGTGTTGCTGAGATTATGAATAAAACTTTGCTTGAAAGGGTAAAATGTATACTTACATGTTCTGGACTTTCTAAGAAGTTTTGGGGTGAGGCTATTTTGACTATATCTCATGTGATTAATTGTTCACCTTCTGTTTCTTTGAAATGGTAAATATCCAGAATATGTGTGGTCTTGTACTCAAATTGATTATTGGAACTTGAGAGTGTTTGGTTGTTATGCATTTGTGCATCAGAAAAATAATAAACTTAAATCGAGGTATGTGAAATGTATTTTTCTTGGCTATCAGCATGTGGTTAAGAGTTATCATTTATGGTTAAGGGAGAACATGACTTTAAGGTGTTAAATAGTCGGGATGTGATTTTCAATGAGTTTGAATTTCCTTGTTCCGAGCAAGGTGGAGCATATACCTGGTCCGAGTCTTTTTTACTGATGATATGCAAAATGTGTCAATTATGTCTGATTAGAACTCGTTTTCTGATAATATATCCATAAATGAGTTTGATAATCATGTTGTTGATGTTGTTGTGCATAAGGAAGTTCGTGAAAATTTGTCTTAATTTGATCTTAGAAGAGATCGAACTCTATATGTTTCAAAACATGATTATTCTTTGCGTTGTATGAATATTGTGGAAAAATAGAATGATGTCCTTGCATGTGAATAATATGTAGTCGTATGTTTGTAAACTAAGAAAGTGGTTCTTAGTGGATTCTAAATGCATGTCATGTTGCTTGAAATTTTTGATTTATGATACTTTTGATTGATACGTGTTATGTGACTCTATGTGAGGTAGCTGACTTTGTGTCTGCTGCATGTTTGCTTTAACTTTGTGTTTGAGTGCAGGTACAGTACAGTACGTTACGGTAAGGCGATGATGACTCTTGTAAGCCCCAATCTTGTGTTTGGGACAAGGTGGAAAATGTTATTTTTATGGCCCAAATAAATAACCTTTGTGGATGGCCCAAGAAAAATACCTTCACGGTCCCGGTCCACCACCCCATCTCCTATAGTAGAAAATAAGATCTTTGCACATTATTTTTGGGGAAGAAAATTTGGGTTAATTGCTAAATAAACTTTAACCTTTTGCGTTTGGTAATTTTATCCCAATCTTTGGCTAATTGCAACATAATCTCGACCTCAATTTACTTATTGCAAATTTTGGTGCAGAGTGATTGATTTTAGGGATTTGTGGATCGATTTTATGTCCAAGTCTTCCATTGACACGGGTTTTTATGCAATCCACGTAGCAAGTTGGCAATTTCCACGTATTTAATGTATATCCACGCACAAAGCAAAAAATTCCACGTCAGTGTAAGCTACCGTGATGAGTCTCCTCCTAGATTTGGACTGAACCGGTAAATACGAGCTCCAATCTGTTCGAACCGCCTTCAAATCGACCAGTTTTTTGAAGGTCCAACCGGTTTTTATGTTCGACTTGCAATGAGTAAATTGAGGTCAAGATTATATTGCAATTACCCAAAATTGAGATAAAATTGCCAAACGCAAAAAGATTATGGTTTATTTAGCAATTAACCCAAAAAATTTTGACCAACTTGAATTTTAAGGCCTTTTTGAGTTTGCAACCTAATCTTTAGTTTTTGATAAATTGCAACCCTAATTATAGTAATTGGTAAATACCAACCTCGGCCACCGAAATTGACCGTAAAACTCTTTAAGCGCCGGAGCTGGCAACTTTTGTAAGGATATACTTGTGATCTTATCTTATATAATTATATAAATATATCATTCTCGCAATTCCTTCCATCCACTTAGCCAATTTTTTCCCTAATATTCGCAAGAACCCTAACTACGAGTTAACACCTGCAAAAAATCAGAAAAAAAAACCGAAAATATCAAATCCCTAACCATCCCAGAAAGTGCCAACATTGTGTAATAATTTAAGTGTCGCAAATTTACCATAGTCTGGAAAGAATCTATTAGTTGTAATAGTCGTGTGTTGCTCACGAATTTCCCAAACCGTTTCGTTGAATAATCGAAGGTTTAGGGTTGTGAAATTGGGGAAAACACAAAATTTGGGAAATCGGGATATGGGACTGAAAAAATTGGGGAGGAATGATATTTTAATAGTATGATATAATATAAGATTACAATTTTACCCTTACGGTCCACCGTTTCGGTGGCCGAGGTCGGTATTTTCCAATTACGTATAGTTGGAGTTGCAATTTATCAAAAATTAAAGATTAGGTTACAAACTCAATAAGGCCCTAAAGTTCATACTGGTAAAAAAAAATTTCCCTATTTTTTGGGGCAGAAATAGGTATCTCTTCTGCCGTTTTGCCCATCACTCCTCCTTCCAAAAAAAACTCTTCGTGAGATAAGCAATTTTCCAAATTTGAAATCCCCAAAAGTTTGGCTAGCCCGTTTCTCCCCTGACCCCTGTTTACGTCAACATATTTTATTATTATTATTTTTTTTGGTATAGGGACCTTGATCCACAGGAGAACCGACTAATTCGGAATCGAGCCGTGTAGGACAACAAGGGCGGCAAAGCTCTCCCTCAAGAGTTCTAACAATGCTTATTTTAAATTGGCCATCTTTTGAGTGTGTGCGGAGAGATATAAAAGAGTTGTGTGGTTGCAAAAGAAAAAGTGTGGGTGCTCTTGGCGAGTGCCAAGTATGTGAGAAAAACCAAACCAATAAATCAAGCACTGAGCATGCTTTGTGAATGCTCGTGAGTGCTCTGTGA